GGCGGCGGCGCGGAACTCGTGCGTGAGGGCGCGGGGCGAGGCGGGCGCCATAGCGGGAGGGACGCGCGTCCTGCCCCGAACAAGGTTCCCCTGCGCCGGCTGCGGCCGCTTCCGCTCCCGGGCGGTGCCGGCGCGATGTCGGGTTTCAGCCCTGAGCTGATCGATTACCTGGAGGGGAAGATCTCCTTCGAGGAGTTCGAGCGGCGGCGAGAGGAGCGCAAGAGCCGCGAGAAGGTGAGTCTGCCCCGCCTGACGGCCCGGCCCGGCCCGGCCCGGCCCGCTCCCTCCGTGACAGCACCTGGCAGGGCAGGGGCCGCTTCAGGAGCAGCGTGGCTTCCTCTCTTCTGCGTGAGTGCCTGGGCTCGTGTGAAGTGCTGCTGTGCTCAGCTGTTGACGATGTCTACGTCGTTGTTAATTTCTCTGCAAAAATTATGAGAAGCTAACTTTAATTGGCAAGGGTCATTAGGTCCTGGGAGAGCAAGTTGTTCGGGGGAGCGTACACCTTTCCGAAGTGCAGAACGCAGCGGTTTGGTTCGTGCCAGTGTGGCTTGCGTCCCTGGACTTGGCAAACGCTGGTGGCAGTTACCTTCAGGCACCGTAATTAATTTCTGCTTCAGGCTGGAGCAATGAGCAGAAGCAGATTTTGATATAAAATCATCCAGCGTACGGTGCTACCGCTCCCCCACCATCTTCTGTGTGAGATCTAAGGAAGAGATCCAGTCTGACTCCTTTTGGTAATTGTTGTGGCTTCTTGGAAGCAGTAGGTACAGGCAGACACAGCTTTGTGTCTAAAGCAAGCAGATGGAGGTACTCTGAGAAATTCTGTATGCTTGATCGGAGTGTTGCAGTTAAAGTTAACTTTACTATCTTTATGTCAGAATACAACTGAATTTCTGTATTTCCTGATCTTCAGGGAGCAAATTCAGCAGAACTCAGCTGTCGTGGAAGGACAAGTGATATCCTATGGCAACCTTCCTACTGGATGACCAAGTGCTATTTTGTTATTTCATTTTGTGTTTAAAAAGGCAGGCTTCTAAAAGGATTTGTTGCGCATTTGTAAATTTTTTTTAATACAGTTAACCATGTCATCTTACCTCACTGTAATGCTAAATAAGCAATGGACTAGTCTCTTCAGTCAAAAGTGATGTGAACAGTCACCATCTGAGTCACCTCACATTGATAAGAATGTAAACAACTTGAAAGCAAGTAATGTTGGGTTCTGTTCATTTAAAAATATAGCACTTATTCCACTTGTTTCACTAGCAGGTCTAAATGCCGTTTCACCCGTGGTCTAAATGCTAATTGTAAATATTAGGGGAAATAGGAATGGGTCATGTTATAAAGCTGATTATTGTCGGTGTGCGCAGGATGGCGAAAATGCGTCTGCTGAGGAAAATGCTGAAGATGTAGAGGCTCCATCTTCATCCAGAAAAGCATCTGGGAAATCCCAAAGTCAGGATGAAACTGATGGTAAATGTTAACATAATAATTTCAGTGAAAAATGTATTTAAAAGGTCATTGAAAGCATTTGCTCTTTAATAGCTGGCTGACTTATAAATACCTGGCTGCTGCTTTTGAACCTGTGGGTATTAAAGTACAGCGTTAGAATGTATGTCTTTGTAGGATGTTCCCAGTCATAGCCAGGGTTTTAACTTTGTTCAGTGTTTTTAAGGAACTGGATCTGGCCAGTTGGCCATCTTTTTCTGGGAAACCCTCAATTTTTCCCCTCCTGGCTTCTTAACCACATGGTCTCAATTATTTACTCTCTCTAAAGTTACAAATAATTTGAAGTTTTTAACTTATCTCAAAAAGTCTTCTGTGTGTTTTGTTTTGGCTTTTTTCCTGTTCATTTCTTCGCTAGTCTTTTGCTGAGACTCGAATATTTCAGAGTATTTGATTCCACTGTATGAGTGTTGCCTTCTTCCATTGTCATCTGAAGTGAGATAAAATAGTTAAAAAGAGGAGATTCTTTCTTTCTCTTTGTTTTTTTTTTCTCTTGCTCAGTTATCCTTTGGCCTGCTTAGAGTGCCTAGATTTATTTCTCTCCTTATTTTCTGCTGGATATTCCTAGCTACAGATTCCCTGGCTGGCTTCCTTTGTGCAGTTACTGGGATGGTAATATCTCCTTAGGTGCCTTAGCAAAATAAGCTTAACTTCCTTGGGGTTCCTGCGTAGTGAAAGGACTTGCAGGAAGTGGTAGGAGCAGCACTTCTCTCTTTAGTTTGTATCTATCCTTGTTGATCCCATGCCTCAGGTTCTGGATTTGGGTGTGGGATTGAGAGTGCTGCAGTCTGTTTCAGACACCTTCTCTTCAGAAGCTGTACTCCATACATCAGTCAGGGCATATTCCTGTGAGATTGCCAATGCTGTGAGATAGCAAAGTGCAATATTTGATCTCTTTGTGTTCGTTCTTAGACTCCTTTTGCTACTTTCACTGCAAATTCTCATCATTCTGTTTGTTGGAGTTTTTTTCCTTAAATTTCAAAAACAGGCCTTAAATTGTCTTACCTAAAATGTGCATCAGTGGAACCTCAATTTTGAAAGTATGGCCAGACTGCATCCTAGAAGGACAGAAAATGAACACTGGAAGTGTGGTTGGAGCCAGATATCTGTGGTTCCTTAATGACCCCTTCTTTTTGCTGATATCTCTGAAATACCTCTAAGCTGCTCTTTTCTGCTTTGTATTCCTCCCAGTCTGTTACATGTTTTTTCATGCACGTCATCTTTATCTAAGAAAAAACATATCCTGATAGATTTGTGTGATAGTGTTACGTCTGCTCTTCCGTAGAGAACACAGAAGTCTCAAGAGCAGTCAGAATCATGGAAGCATTGATAATATTTATCACTATTTAAAGAGTTGCTATTAGAATCAGACTTAGGATATTCAGAAGAAAAATGTTAGAAAAGGTCATTGTTAAAATCACTTTTGATACATGAATCTTCAGAGCTAATCTACTACAATCTTCAGATGATTCCTGCAGCCTAGGAGACTGAAATAAAAGGGAAATTAAATTAATAATTAGGTATTTTTCAGATAAAGGGAGGGGAGGAAGAAAAGTCTTGATTTTTAGATGCTTAATATCCAAGTCAGGATAAAAATAACTAAATATATCCAAGTCAGAAAAAAAAAACCAAACAGAAAAAGAACTATAAACTCAGGTGTAGTACTCAATTCCCCCTTATCTATAGGCAATACATGATAGATTTATTTTTCAGTCCCAACTTGATACTGTGGTTATTCTTTTATCAAATCTTTAGATACCAAGTCCTCCAGCTGAAACCTTTGAACACTACATATTTTGATTTTTTGCATAGACATAGACTTGTGGGCAGTTATAGCCCTGGATTAACTTAATAATGAAAAGTTGCAATTAAAAGATGTGAAAATTTTTAAAATCATATGCTTTAAGCATATTTATTTTGGATATGTAGCATCATATTCTTATTTATTTTAAAGAATTTTGTTATTTCTTTTTCTGGAGAAATGTGAATAATCTGGATTTTGCATTTACACACATTGAAAGGTACTTATTGTCATGGTTAGAATGGTTACAAGACCTTGTTTTAAATTACCTCTAAAAATTGGTTGCTGCATTATTGTTTAGTGTAATTGTCTGCCCACTTAGCCTCTTCAGCTGAAAAGCTTTATTCCATCCAACCAGTTTAGCGCTTGAAAATCACTTAATATGCTTCTCTTGTATGGATTGGGAAAAATGTTGGTAAACTGTTGCTTCGTTCTGTGTGTTACTCCATGCTTTCATTTCAAATATCCAAAAAATGTTAGAGGCTGGGGCATACTAAGCATTGGTGATGAATAATGCAGAGTTTTAAAACCAAAGAGGTTGTTAATAGTTCTTCTGCATTTCTGCAGGCCTTTTTCTTATAGAATAGCTGTTTCAAGTGGGCTACTAATTATGAAGAATTCCGTTTTCTCTGCATTTGTCCTAACAAGCAGTGTGTACTCTTGATTATATCATAGACTGTTTTTGCTTCTTTCTCAACCAGGAGAAACTTCAGATGGCGTCAGTAAATCTGTTCATCGGGTCTTTGCATCCATGCTTGGGGAAAATGAAGAGGAGGAGGAGGATGAAGAGGAAGAAGAAGAAGAGGAAGAAGAAACTACTGAGCAACCCACAGCTGGAGATGTTTTTGTGTTGGAGATGGTACTTAATCGTGAGACCAAGAAAATGATGAAAGCAAGTATTTAAACTTCCATGTAACTTCCCTGTATCTCCTGAAGCATAGTGCATAAATGCCAGTTTGTGTGATTTTAGCTACTTGCTGAAAAACTTGCCTGAAAATAATTCACTGTAGGATACTTCTGCTTATGTTGGTGTCACCTGTCTTTGTTTTTTAAAAAACTGCTGTAGATTACTGTTCGAAAACTTTCAAAAATAATGAAGTGAGTTTTTCCAGTGTCTGGATTATGTTTGTATTAGGTATCAGAGTTACTCTGTCAGTTTTGAAAATCAGCAAATCTTTTGGTCAGTCATTTTAATATCACTAGTACTTAAATAAGTTGTTGTTAGGTTGTGTTAAGCACAGGTGTGACTGATGTCTCCAGAATTTGGGCACAACTGAATCCTCGGTAGAAATAATATCCTTTTTCCATTTAGGAGAAAAGACCTCGCAGCAAACTTCCTCGTGCCTTAAGGGGTCTGATGGGAGAGGCCAATATCAGGTTTGCTCGAGGAGAACGCGAGGAGGCTATTCTAATGTGCATGGAAATCATTCGACAAGGTATGTTAGAATGGTAAACCTTTTTGGCTTTAAGGATGGGGTGAAATTGCCATGTGCATCAGAAAAAGTCAGTGTGGCTCCACTGATGATGAAAGTACTCAGTACAAGGAAAGTCACTGTATAAGTAGTGTGGAATTAAGAATATGTAGTGCATTTCCTTTGTTGTTTTGCTTATAAAAAGAAACTAGCACCCTAATTCTGCAGAGGCCTGGGCCTTTGCTTGGCTTTACACAGTTGCTTTTATTGTCTTTGTAGAACCAAGGTATAAACATCAGCATGACTTATAATGTAGAATAATGCTATAAATGGTTGTTGTTAGATTTGCTCAGGCTGTTTAATAGTTTATAAAAAGGAACTGGAGCTTGTCTGCAGTTCAGTGTTTTCTGAATTTAAACAGCAATGTTGATGTTTCATATAATTCTGATATCTGTTGTTTGCAGAAAGGCAAGTTAATTGCTTTCAGAGTGGTTTTAAAACAATAGTTCTTAATCATTCTTTTTGTCTTTTCACAGCTCCTCTTGCTCATGAGCCATTTTCCACTCTTGCCATGATCTATGAAGACCAGGGTGATATGGAGAAGTCATTACAGTTTGAACTGATTGCAGCTCACTTAAATCCTAGTGATACTGAGGAATGGGTTAGACTAGCAGAAATGTCACTGGAACAGGACAATATTAAACAGGCTGTTTTTTGTTACACAAAAGGTAGCGTAGCAACCATTGTAATAGTTTAAAATAAATGTTAGATGCTAATGGCAATCGTTTTGTTTTCTTCTGCTTTCTCATTTAGTTTGCTGCAGTTTGCTAAAGATTCTGGTACCTCTGTCCAGACTTTGGTAAAAGATTAATGAATCTTTAATATAGGGTGTCTTTTCCTTAGAAAAACTTTGTGCGTGTTTGTTAACGTTCATCTAGTCAGGGAAATGAATGTGAAATCCATTGTTGCCTTTTCCTAAACTAGGCTACTAATACACTTTTTCTTGTAGCTCTGAAATATGACCCAACCAATGTGCGTTACCTATGGGAGAGATCAAGCCTGTATGAACAGTTGGGGGAACATAAGATGGCTATGGATGGCTACAGGCGTATTTTGAATCTCCTGTCTCCCTCTGACGGAGAGCGCTTTATGCAGTTGGCTAGAGACATGGCAAAGTAAGTTGGATTTAAAAATACTGTGATTTGATTTTCCAGAGTTTCTCAAAAGCTGGTATTAATAAGCTCTGCAGCTGATTCAAGCTGGGTATGTAGCTGAAATAAAGGAATGCAGGTGTTTTTGCTGGGGGTGACTCCCCCACAAGCATTCACCCCCCCAACTATTGTGATATTTCCAAAGCCTGATATGTGGGAATTAATCCTGTGTAGGATCAAGGCATCGATTAGCAGTGTTGCATTCTCTTAAGAGAATAAAGTGCAAATACTGATTACTAGAAAAATGGCAGTAGTATAATTATATACAAATGCAGTACATTTTTAATCTGTATAATATCACTAGAGACCTGGAAACTTACTGCCAGCAAATCTGAATGAAACAAAGTATTCAATCTGAAATACAAACCATCTGCAAAAGAATAAATTTTATGTGTCATTTTTTATTCATTTCTGGAGCAAGTAGAAATCTGCCTCCTCCCCTTTTCTGCTAATGAGAGCAGATCAAGTCATAGAAGCTTGCGTTGGACAGAGAAGGCTTGAGGTTAAAGTGCGTAGCTCTCTTATCATAGTTTTTAGTAAGTTGTTTAACTACTATATATCTCAGCTTTCTCATGCATAATGTGTAGAAGGCTGTTACTGGCCTGTGTCAAAACAGTTTAAGTCTGTGTCAAAACAGTTTAAGTCTTTTGATCTTCATGGTTGTGAAATGCACCAAAAAACCACAAGGACGTGTATTGTAACAATGTTATTATTGAAGATTTTTCTGAAACCAGGTTAGTGTGATGTATTATTGATATGTGGCTCCAGGTGGGGGATATTGTGATGAAAATTCCAGTAATGTCCGAACATATGGGGGGGGGGGGGGGGGAGAATTTTTTA